CCCCCCGCTGGGGGGGCGGGCCCGCCCCCCCCCAGCCACTCCAGGGACTCCATTCTCCCACAAAGCAAGGACGAGCTGGAAAAACAGAACGACAGGATGCTGACCTGAGTAAACCCAGCCGGCCAAGTTGTTCTGCCCATGCAAACAGTAGTTTATCTAGCTTGTGTAAACATCATAAACTCAGCCATGACCTGTATCTGGAAACACAACTAAGATCTCCCCCTACCCTGATTGTTAACTGATAATTAGGTACTTCTGAGGAGGTCCAGGATCCTGAGGGCTGGCCAGGGACTCATCCCAGATAAATTGCTACAGGATACTTCCTCATACTCCTGGGCTTACAAACCTTTCTTTCTTTTTTCTCCCCCCCCCCAACAGTAATTTTTATCCCTACCCCTGATCATAATGTGATTTTCTTTCCAGATTATCTTTTCACTTGGTCATATTTATGGAAGATGGTATGCTATTTCAATACATGTATACAATGTGTAATGACCAGATTGTCCATTGGTAAATCAAATTTCTTAAATATGGAACTAATAGCCATTCCAGTTAACTGCGGTAATCACCCAGCTGTGCTAACTGCATCACTCTACCTGTAGCCATCCTTTCTCTATCCCCTCTTCCTCCTTCCCTAGAATGTTATTAACAGTAATATACATTCATCGCAAAACAGAGAAAATAATTTAAAAACAAAAATGTACCTTACCCACCAATAATCGCAGTACTTACTAATCAATCCTTATAGAAAATGTAATGAGAACTATAGTGTGACTCAATAGTAATAAAAACAAAATTGACACATAGATCTGTGGGATAGAACAGAGGACCCTGCTATAAGTTCACATAACCACAGCTACCTGATTTTTCACAAAGAAAGCAGAAGTACACATTAGAGAAAAGATAACTGCCAAGTTCAAAAGAGCCCCCCCTTCCCCTAAAAATGTCCCTTCTGGTGGCACTGCCCTAAATAGAAGGACTCTGACTAGATAAACAAGCCTAAATGTTTCTGTTCACCGGGAACCACCTATAACCTTCCCCCAAAGGTCAACCACCCCTGGCAAGGGCAGCTACTACTGGACCATTGGAGACAGCCTGTGTCAGCTCAGATCCCCACCCTGCTGGCTATCATAAAATCAGCTTGCATTCCTACTGTTTTACTCTTTAAATGATGCTGGAGAAACTGGATCCTTATCTCTCTCTCTCTCTCTCTCTCTCTCTCTCTCTCTCTCTCTCTCTCTCTCTCATCCTGAATAAAAATCAATTCCAAGAGGATCAAAGATCTCAGTGTTGTCCCCTGAAACAGCTGCAAGATAAAGCAGTGAGTCTGTCCAAAAATATGGGCACACACCAGGGTTTTCTGAATAGGGCTCCTGGAAATAAGGCCAAGAACTGAGAAGTGAGATCTCACAAAATGTAAAAGCTTCAGTACTGCAAAAGAAACTGTTAATGGAGTGAAAGGCATCCTACAAAATAGGAGACAATCTTTGCCAACTATACATCTGACAGAACTAGTGCCTAGAAAACTAAACATCAAGATAACAATCGCCAGTGTTAAGAAATGGTCTATGTACGTCTGCCATCACCAGGAGCCGGGAGACATGAAAGGTGAACTTGCTTTTATTTATTAACCAATTTTCCTCTGCTTTTCTATCTCCTTTTTCCCATTTTGTTTACCTTTGCACGCCCCAATCATTAAATAAATGTTATGGGTCCTAGGCTAATTAATAAATAATGATTTATAAAACTGGAGCTCTCAAAAGAAGCACAAACAACTAATAAATACTTTTAAAAGTGTTCAACATCCTTAGCCATCAGGGAAATGCAAATTTTAAAAAGTGCTTTGAGATTTCATCATGCTCCAGTAAGAATGGCTATTATCAAGGAAACAAATGACCTCAAAGGCTGGTAAGACTGTAGGGGAAAGGCAACCCTTATTCACTGTTGTAACTAGAGTGTAAACTGGTAGAGCCACTATGGAAATCTGTGTGGAGGTTCCTTCAAAACTCTAAAAATAGAATGGCCGTTTTATTCAAGCAACACCATTGTGGGCTGTCTCCTAAGCTAGAGCACAGCATACTTAGCCCTGGACCTCCTTTTTGTTTTGTTTTGTTGAAACATGGTCTCTCTACTAGCCCTGGCTGTCCTGGAACTTACTTTACAAACAAAGCTGGCTCCAAACCCACAGAGATCTGCTTGCCTCTGCAGTAATTAAGGTGTGTGCTGCCACACCTCCTGGCTGCCACCTGAGCCTCTGGAATCCTGGTATTATAGATGTGTCTCTGAGCTAGATGCCAAGACTTCCTTTTCTACAAAATAAGATCCCCTTCCCCTATTGCCCTCATACTCAAGTCCATAGTGCTTTTTATATATAACCCCTCCAACTTTTTGAAAACTCTGATAGTTCTTTGTTTCCCAAAGAACTATCTAGCTAAGAAGTCATGGTTTGGGGAGGACATATTTAGTAACATACATCTTATCACACACAGAATCCAAAGTTCAAAAAACTTTATACTATTTTAAAGCATCCCTCCATTTACTATCTAAAACCCATTGGTATCACATGTCAGCCACCTTCAGACACAAGGTGAACCTTCTCTTGCTGGTCTTCTCTTCCATATCCACTATGGATACCCTTTGGGAAATCAGAAACATGTCACTTCTTGTTCTGCTCATCTCTGATGACCTCTCTCCATTTGAATAATGTGTCTATAGGCAGAACTCCATAGATCACATATTGATGGCTTCATCATTGTGACTAAGATACTGAGCAATCTATGGACCATTTAAAATTGTCTGTTCAAGTCCTTTACCCATTTTTGAATTGAGTTTTTAGCTGTCTGTTCTCATGGAGTTGTATGGTAAATAGTAAGTTCTTCTCAAATTGATAATCTTCATTTTTACTTCTATCCCTGTGGTCTGTCTTTTTTCTTGCTTGGTAGTATCTTTTCACTCATGAAGAAAAAAAAATGTTTTTTGTAATCCAATGGAGATTGACTCACTTATTTCTTTTGCTGGCATTGCCTGTGCTTTGGGCTCAGTACTGGAGTGTATTTTGACACACAACTGCAACACCGTGAAGAATTTTTCTTCAATGATTTCTCTTACAAGTCTATAGTTTGTTGGGTCTTTTATTAACTTTAATACTTGTCTGTGGAAATAAGCATCTGTCTTTGTTCATTTGTATTTGAACATCCAATTTTCCCAGCACTACTTGAAGAGACCATCCTTTCTCCTTCTCATTGATTTAGCACCCTTGTCAGAAGTTCATTGACCAGTAGCAGGTGTGGTAGCACACACCTACCTTCTCAGCCCTTGAAGACTGAAGCAGGGGCCCTGGGAACTCTTGGTTAGATAGTGAGACTTGTTTCAGAGGTGTCCACCTATATAGTGGGACAGGTGTGGTCAAACAGAGCAGCCCATATCATGTCATCAAGGAATCAGAGAGAATAACTCTCCAGAAGTCACTCTGAAGAGACTCCCAGTCTGGTAACTGGTTGTGAAAGATGCTTCTGCCCTTCATTCTTCCTTTACCTCACTTTCTCTCTGGACTTCCTCATCCCTGAGTCTAGTTGGTCCTTCATGTATTGAACTTGAACAGCACTTAATATTTATATTTTAAAACTCATTTATTTCAAATTTTAAATTGTGAACAATACTATAACATAAAATTGAGCCATGTCATTAGCTTGGAATTTAGCTTAGGTTTGACTTTTGTCGTATATTAACAGATGACACTGGGGAGTATTTTCTGAAAGAATTTAGCCTCTTGAGAATTCTTTTAAACTGTGTCTCATGACCAGCATTTGTTTGGTCAGTTTGGTACCATGAATGAATTCTTCAGGAGTCACAAAATCACTGCGTCAACTGTTATTCTTATTGCCTAAGATGTGTTCTTGACCAAAAAAAAAAAAAAAAAAAAAAGTTAGTTGCTTTTTTTCCAATCTGAATCTGACTTTCAAATTCCCATAAAGAGCTGAATACTGCAGTGAATCTGTAGTACCAAACACCCAAGGGCTGAGACTGGAGAACTCATCAATAGCCTGGGCAGAGTTTATTGCAGTCCAACTCAAAATAAACAAACAAACAAATGAAAGATTCATAAAGCAAACAGAAATTCTAGGTTCCAAGGCAATGTCTCCATGGCTTCATCCTAAGACAAAATGGAAGAGGGATTGAAATAGAATTATGTAAGTAAAAGGGTGTTCCATAAGATTTTGTACTAGTAGAATAAAGGATTACCAGCCTACAATCCACACTGCCAGAGAAGCTAGTAAACAAGGAGGACCCTAAGAGAGACATACATGGTCCCCTGGAGAAGAGGAAAGGGTCAAGATCCCCAGAGCAAATTGAGAGCACAGGAAGAGGAGGGAGGGAGCTATAAGAATGAGAAGGGAAGAAGAGGAGGGATGCAGAGGTCATGAGGGAGCAGAAAGGTTGAGTCAGGGGAAGAATAGAAGAAAGGATATGTGATAGGTAAGGTTTTAGTTGGGGGGTGGTAGAGGAGGACGGGAGGGAGAAGGGAACTGGGATTGGCATGAAAACAATCTTCTTTCTAATTCAAATTTAAAAATCTGAAAAGAAAAAAAAGATTTTGTGCTAGATTACTCTGGTATATTAATTTGTCTTCCACTGGAAGGTTCTAATCCTGATTCTCTTGTGAACTTTTGATTAAGTTGGAATTCACTGTAGACCACAAGGGATCATTTGTCCCAGGGGTTAGAAGTACAGGAACTTCTGACAGATTTATTACAGGTCATATATTAGAGCTGCGTGACAGGTATTTCCTTTTGAACTATTTCATTAACAGCCCTGCCCCTTTCCCACTAAACTTATCTTTACAGACAACATGCTAGAATATTCTTTCTTCAGTTTTAATCTCATTCTTTACATCTGCTTTTACATCTGCTAATGGGATCTGTCACTGTGTTACCTGGTAA